GACAGACAGACAGACAGACAGACAGACAGACAGACAGACAGACAGACAGACAGACAGACAGACAGACAGACAGACAGACAGACAGACAGACAGACAGACAGACAGACAGACAAAAATTCTAAAAACTATAGATTCGGACTCTGTATCGATAATAATGTCTATTTCAATTAGATTTTCCAAAAAATATTGCATTATCAATTTTATGTAAATAATTAGAGCGTTAAAAACTCTTATATAAAAAAGTAGTCTACATTGTTCCAGGATTCGATCAAATTATTTAATACAAATTAATACAAAGTTATTGAAAAATAAGTCGATATTTTTAATTGAAAAATAAATCTAGCAGTATTAACATCTGACTTTCCTAACAGCGAACACAGCGGAGCTCAGTCAGCTCGCGAGAGATGACAGATGGAAGCTCCAATGAAGACCTGAGTGCAATGTTATACCCAAAAATACTGTTCAATCTACAGTATTAAGAATCTCATTATTTAAAAGCGAACTAAAATTCTGTCTCCTTACATTAGGTAGGGTAAATTGAATAAACTTTTTTTTTGGTGTCTAATGCTAAATTATTAATATTAAGTGTGTGAGATAATGCACTATTTAATTAGTCATAATCAGTTATATTTCTATCAACTTTAAAAATTAAAGAGGTATCATCTCCAAACAGTACAATATCACACAATTACAAAAATTACAATATACACAATAAATGACTTTAAAAGTGAATTGAAAAAATAATAATAATCTAAGTTAGTATAAGAATGAACACAAATCACGTGAAGGTACGTTTAATTGCTAATAAGAATACCATGTTAGTGTTGTTTGTTGATGAAATGGGTGTTGTGAAAATTTATTTTTGAATTTTGACACTCTTTTTTGAAAATATTTTTTGAATCATGACATTCGCGTGACTAAGATAAATCTAACGTGATATGAATCATCAAAATCGGTTAAGTCGTTTAGTAATTACGAGAGAACATAGGATCAGACATACATACATACAGGTCAAACACAACACCCTCCTTTCAGCTTCGTAGTCGGGTAAAAAGCTTGGAACACAAAGGCAGGGCTCGGAACCGATTTATTTCGGTAGTGTAATGGTTAACGGTTATTCTTAGAAAAAGGTTGAATTTTTATTTTGATACCGAAACATACCAGTTAATTCATTCATAAGTAAGAAACGTGCTTGTATCTTTCTACTAATCCATTAACCATTCGCATAGATGCGCCAAATGTAAATGCACAGAAACTCATTTTAACCGGTTAAACTTGGGTCATGGAGCCTAAATTCATCAAAAAGCGTGTTCCAGGATTTAACCGGTAAAAGAATGTAACCGAAACATGAAATAAAAAAGCCTTTCGGTGTGGGGTCAATGTCCAAAACCGGCTTAGAAATTGAACGGGATTCCGAGCCCTGCACACAGGCACCATGTCCTAGATTAAGAACGAAAAACTGTTCTGGTATATTACGTACATGATAGTAGCGGCTTAAGCATTTTAGCATACTTTCACTAGTTTGTAGTGGATTCAGATGAGAGTAATATAGGTCATTTCCACTGATTTGTCTCGTTGCCTTCGCTACATGTGAATTTTGAAAAACAAACCCTTTTAAGGGTAGAATAATTTTCCACTTTCAAGTTGAGTTTTAGTTACATTTATCCTTTTCGTAAATTTAATTATCTACTTAAGACACGAATAAATCCAAAAAAACACACATGGACGTGTTTAATTATGCAAAAAAAATACTTATATTTTTCCCTAAACATGTTTTTTGTCAAACTTAACTAATTTCGGTTGAAGGTGCAAAGATACAGCAAGAAAAAATTTATAAGTGGTTTATTAGTTAGCCTGTCCAGCAAAAAAATAACGAATCAAGGTGATTTTTACCCGAATGCAGCGAATATATGTTTTTGACCTATTATGTATGTATATATGCGTGTATTTATGTACCTACATGTTTTATAATAGCTGCGTGTATGTAGGGAAAGTGGGCGAAACACGAACACTTACGGGAAAACAAATAAAACAGCCGAATTAAGACACAATTTTTTTTATTACTTTGTAATAAATTTTAACTATACATCTAAAGAAATAACTAATCAACAGTTATAACTCTTTTAATAAAATGTAACATTAAGAAAAAGAAACAAAATCCTTGGTGTTCGGTATTACCGTACTAATGTGAGGTGATTAAAAACTAACATTTTTTACGTATTATAAATCAGTCTTAATTACGCCAGAGATCACACTTATATCTCGTTGATGACGACTGTCCGTCTGTACATTTTTCATGAGCCATGGAAAGCTATTCAGCGAATTTTTCTTATCGTCAATCTATAAAATAGTTTGCTGCGTTTTATACTATACTCGACGAGTTCAGACTCTTGCTCATCTGTAAATAATGGCTTTCTACCAGTTCTTGGTTGTTTTATTACAGCCCTCTTAAAGTGGTCGAAAATGTTAGTATTTGGCACTGAATAAGTTTCTGCGACTTTTCCAATACTCAATTTTTTGGTTTTAACATCCTCAACAGCTTTTTGGAGATCATCTAGTTTACTTTTTTTCTGTCTTTTTAATGTAATTACGAGGCATCTAAAACAATATATACAAAAAAAATTAGAACGAGGAACTAACGAAATAACAATAGCACACAGGTCCACAACTACAGGCTAATATTATTGCTTTGTGTTTTCGCAAAGGTTTTCGAGGTGCGGCTTGGATATATATTTAGCATCATTTTCAGAAATATATATATATATATATATATATATATATATATATATATATATATATATATATATATAAAGGAATTTCAACACGGATTTGCCAAAATATGAATTTTAGTAGGGCTATCGACACACTTTCTCATAGAATTCTTTTGTATAAGTTGGCTATATATGGCATTTCTGGCGCCCTACTGCAATGGATTCAGTTATACGAACCGATTGTTTTTGGCGGTGGTACATGGGTACAAATTAGCAATCAAAAGAGTAAGATCTGGTGTCCCCCAGGGATCTCATTTGGGGCACACTCTTTTCAATATATTTATAAAATTTATTATTTTTTATTTATTATTAATTTATTTATTTATTATTTAATGATATTGTCGATTGCCTTAAGAATTCTGCGCCTTTCATATATGCCTACGACCTAAAGCTTATAAAAATCGTACACGACCTTACAAGATGATATAAATAGGATCATGTCATGGTGTTCTAAGAATAACATTCAAATAAATAATAAAAAGTGTATTCACATTAAATTCACTAAAAAAGTTAATGTTTTACCTTCTCCTTATGTTACTGGTAATAGCATTCTACGTGCGTACGTACTGCTCTATATCTGGAGACTACATTATGCTACGCACATAATAATTAAGAATTGAACGAATTCAAAAACGCTTTCTTAGACATCTTCTCTTTACTTCGGGAACGTCCTTGATACTAAATTTATATAATTATATGCAGAAGCATCAAGATACCCTAAAAAGCTATTAATGTCTTCTTACACCCTCGTTGCTCCACAGTTGTGGGTGCTAATTCTCCCATTCCAAGAATTTGCCATTTATAAAATAACTTTAGTAACTTTGACATTTTTGACTAGTCAATATTCATATTTCGAAAATTAATAACAGAAGCTGCAATAATTTAATAGTAGCACATAGCGTACATAATTTAATGTTTAATGTTTTTTTTTGTCTTAGGCATTAATTAAGAAATTGATATTATAATCTAATTAATTATTTTTATCGTCTAATTATTATATTTAAGTGGTGCCTGTTGTGTTCACCTGTAAGTGGCTTTGCATTTTACATTTGTATTTTTAATGTTATTTCTTGTGTATGTATGAAAAATGTAAAGTAGGTAATGCCGAACGTTCGAGATTACTCGACATGGCCTGTACTGCAGTATTGAAACCATTAAAATTACAAAATATGTTTAAAACTTTTAAGCCTTTTCGTTTTGCCTTTAGCGGCGTTGTCATTTACATGATAAAGTATCTGGGCGACCGAGCTTCGCTCAAAGTTTTTGGTCAAACGTATAATTTTCTTTCTTTTTTTTAACTAAAAACTTGAATAAATACAAAAAAAAACAAAAGTAGAATCTTTGTGTCCGGCCGGTATTCAGACCTGGATACCTGTGATGGTCAATCTTGCGCATTGGCCGCTTAACCACGATGCTTATGCCCGAGCGTGCGAAATTAGCGACCATATTTTGCGTGCAAAAGCAAACCGCATGAAAACTCGAAAATACACGTTTTTCAAGACATAAGGCTAATCTAAATCGATTTTTCGCCCCCGAAAACATCCACATACCAAATTTTAGCGAAATCGTTAGAGCCGTTTCCGAGATCGCCGGTGTAATAAAATATACAAGAATTGCTCGTTTAAATATATATTAATAATGTGAGATGGCAGCGAATAAAATACGGTAATGTCTTTCGAACATGTTAGGACCGTTGAATTCGGAATAACCCCGCTTTCGTGTTTCCCCCACTTTTCCCTCTATCTATATCTCCGATCATTCTATGTTCATAATACTATGTTCCTTCGTCAACTTGTTGTCATCTTTTTAGTTCGCTTCTTAGGTAGTCGGGTTTTTTTAGAATTGTAATTTTTTTGCAATATATTTTAGTTTAAGCAGCAGTTTTGTATTTTAATACGAACTTTCAAAGCTGTGCAACATAAAACTAATATTCTGGGCATATATGAGTTATATACTATAGACACGAACTAGAGTCAACTATGCTCGTACTTCACAACTAGAACGTTAAAATATTAATATTATGTTTGTTCGAGCTAATGGCGGAGTTAACTATACTCATTGCAATGATACTCAATTAAAATGTTTTTTGACAGAGAACTGACCTACTACTTTATTTTAAAATATAAAGTGGGTACCTACTTAATTATATGGATATCAGAAGTACAATTATTATTATAATGAGATAAAAGTGCAGTGTTCAAGTTGTAACTGGTGAAGGCTGACAGTAAAATGGATAATGATAAAGTGAAATTCTCCGCGTTTTTGGCGCAAGCAGGAGCGACTTTGATAAGTTGGTATTTTTCTAAGTAATACTATTAAAATTCAGAAATAAGCTTTGTAAAACTTTTGTAATTTTGATACCAATTAATAAATTTTAATATGATCCATCCTTTAGTGTGACCTAGCTTACATCCTTTAGTTGTTAATAATGTTAATAATTATTACGTAGGATAGTTCAGGAGAAAATATTTTGAGTTAGAAGAGGTCCTATTAATAACTGCTTATTTCCATTATCATAGTTGACATACACTATATATTGTCAGTAGTATTGTATATGTTGAAAACTTTTATTGTAAACAGTGTTATTGTATGTAAACTTCACTGTTCAATTTCGATCATCATTTTTCAAAGAACTTTATGTTATTTATTCTAAGTAACCTTCCAAAATTTCCTTTAGGCTGACACAGATATTTATAAAAACGCATCAAGTTCAATAAAACTTATTGGCGGTATATTTATCAAAGATAGTATTATCCAACCTTCTTGAGCATGAACGGGGACAGTGCTATCAAACCTTCTTGAGGAGTGGGGATCACAACATTCTGGGTTCGAGTCCCGGACTTGGGAGGGTTAGTTAGTTGAAAGAATAAAGAAAGATACCAAGACTCTTTTAAATATACATTATATTATTTTTACGTTTCAGTTTCGACTCTCATAGCTCTAACCGGATGTATTTATGCCTGGCCATCATATACTTATGAGACATTTAAATCAAATAACACGGTCTTGGAAGCTCCCATGACATCCACTCAGTTGTCTTTGTTTGGTAGCTTAACAAATGTAGGAGCTTTGTTAGCGACACCTTTATCTGGATATGCAGTTGATAAATTTGGAAGAAAAATTTCGGCGATGCTATTTGGGTTACCTTACGTGGTAAGTTTTTTTAATATTTTATACTAACAGAACCCGCAGTTTCGCCAGCGTTCAATATACAAAAAAATTCTTTGCCTTTATGTTATAAAGCGACTCATCCTCGATTCGCTCGAGTTCGTTCCTATGTATTTATATAATAATACTAGCTTTGCCCGCGGCTCCGCCCGCGTTCAGATGACCAAAAACCAAATTCTTAATAATTAAGATTAAAAAACGTACATGTGGATAACGCTAAAATCGAAATAAGTAAAATAAAGAACCTAGTATTATTATTATAGTCTGTGCTTCGCGTGTCATAAATCCACTGTGGATTGATGACACGCATAACATCGTTTGTTTTACAGTTCTCTGGAAAATCTTAATTATTTAAAAAAAAATCTATATAATATTTGTTTAGGCCATAAAAACCTAATGTAATTCGGTTCTTAATTATTTCTAACTAGCGACTCACCCTAGCTCTGCTCGGGTTCATCCCTTATTACGTTTTAACGTTTAGTATACCTAGATTATGAGATATTTTCCCGCAATAAAAAGTATCCTATATGTTGACCTGGATAGCCAGCTATCACCATACCAAATTTCATGAAAATCCCTCCAGTTGTTTTTCCGTGATGCGGTAACAGACAGACAGACAGACTGACAAAAATTCAAAAAACTATAGATTCGGTCTCTGCATCGATGTATTCAGCCCTTTTTGACGTCCCACTGTTGGACACGGGCCTCCTTTTTATACGAGGGAGATCAGGCCATAGTCCACCCTGGCGAAGTGCGGGTTGGCGGACTTCACATGTCTTTCGAAAACTTGCTAAGTTCTCTCAGACATGCAGGTTTCCTCACGATGTTTTCCTTCACCGTAAGGCAAATGATAATCATGTTAGAAATGATTCGCACATGAAAATATTAGAGGTGCGAGACCCGGGATTTGAACCCGCTTCACTCGGTTTCCCAAGCGAGCGCGTTACCGCTGGGCTACCACTGCCTTCTGCGTCGATAATAATGTCTATTTCAATAAGATTTTTAAAAAAGTATTTAATTTACAGATTCGGCTTAGTTACAATTTTATTATATGTATTACGTATTAGAAATAGTTTTACAATTATGTATAGGAGTCTGCCCGATTTATTGATATTTATGATTAGTGCTCCGCTTAGTAGCATAATGAGTCTGTAGCCTTCTTCAATAATCGGGCTATCTAATGTAAAAAAAATTTTCAAATGGTATTAGTAATTCCTGAGATTAGCGCGTTTAAGTAAACAATCAAACTCTGCCAATTCATAATATTAGTAAAGATAATAAGGTCATCACAAGGCTAGTGAAATATATACATATAGCTATTGATGAATTACCAAATTTACCGGTTTAAGGAAGACCGGTTTAAGAAATGTCGAATTTGATACAATCTAATAAGCCCATATAAGGACATCTTAGAATGAGACTACCGCAATATTATTGGTTTAGTGCAGAAATAATAGTTCGCAAATTCCGTTATGCTATTTAAATACTTCTAAAATATTATATGTTTTCACTTTCAAATAGCAAATATTGACTATGAAATGTTTGCTTTCCATTATTTTTTTATAATTTTTAATGTCTATAGCGAATATACAGAGTGGAACAAATCGATGGGACATGGAAGAAAAGTACCTTAAATATTAAATTTATCAAGATTTACTCAAAAGAACATTGCTTTATTTAAAAAAAAAATTGCATTTATTAAAAAAAAAGCGTACCATAGACTCTATCCAATATCCATTAATTCGATAAAATGGTGACGGTGTACCTTCTTGCATTTTAAGTTGATTCAATAACCGGTTCAGGTGACCTCCTTTAAAAAAATGCATAATGCTTCCTTTAAGTGAAACTTGATATTTTTAGTGTTTTAGACACTTTTTTTATGTCCTGTGCGTTTGTTTTACGATGTTAGAGTCGATATGTATAATTTGTAAGATTTCATCGTTCTCTACAATTCTAAGACGCAGTGTTTGTTCGAGAAATTTTTATCCATCTCATAGATCCTATCGATTAATTCGATAAAATAGTCACGGTGTTCTTTTTTGCATTTTTATTTGATTCGATTCCCGAGTTAGGTAAGCTTTTTTTAAAGAAATTTAAATGCAGTTATTATTATTTAAAAAAATTAAGAAATGTTTCCATTGAGTAAATTTTGATAACTTTAATATTTAAGGTACTTTTCTTTCATGTCCCATCGATTTGTTCTACCCTGTATACAATCTTTATAGGCTAAAAGAAATACAAGAATCAGTAGTGATAGACTACTCGCACCTCTGATATTTTCATGTGCGAATCATTTCCTACGTGAATACTAGTTGCCTTATGGTGAAGGAAAATATCGTGAGGAACCTAGCAAGTTTTCTAAAGACATGTGAAGTCCGCCAAACCGCACTTAGGCAGGCAAAGTTTATTCCACCTAATTATCTTTTTTTATATAAAACAAGGTTTATGTTTAATTTAAATTATGAAGTAAATAAAAAAAACGTACATGTGGATAACGCTAAAATCGAAATAAGTAAAACAAAGAACCTAATATTATTATTATAATCTGTGCTTCGCGTGTCATAAATCCACTGTGGATTGATGACACGCATAACATCGTTTGTATTACAATTCTCTGGAAAATCTTAATTATTTAAAAAATATCTATATAATATTTGTTTAGGCCATAAAACCTAATGTAATTCGGTTCTTAATTATTTATAACTAACGACTCAGCCTATTTCTGCTCGGGTTCATCCCTTATTACGTTTTAACGTTTAGTATACCTAGATTATGAGATATTTTCCCGTAATAAAAAGTATCCTATATGTTAACCCGGATAACCAGCTAGTACCATACCAAATTTCATGAAAATCCCTTCAGTGGTTTTACCGTGATGCGGTAACAGACTGATAGACGGACAGACAGACATACAGAAAAACAAAAATTCTAAAAACGATAGATTCGGCCTCTGTATCGATAATATTGTCTAATTCTATAAGATTTCTCAAAAAATATTTAATGCACAGATTCGCCTTAGTTAGAATTTTATTATATGTATGTATAGATTTTTCAATTTAAATAGCTTATTTTTTCATCAGTTAATTTAAAATTTAAAAACATTTTTTTTTCTTTTTAGGTCTCCTGGACACTTATAGCTGTTACTAAATCAATTAATTTAGTATTATTTGCTGTATGCTTATCTGGTTTCGGTGCTGGAGGGCAAGTAGTATCTTCCGTGTACATATCAGAAATATCCCATGACTCAATACGAGGAGCATTTACTTCGTCTGCAGTGTTCGGTTTTTTTTCTGGGCTACTATTTTCTTATGCTCTCGGTGGATACTTATCGTATCATAATGTGATATATGTACTTTTGGGGCTATCTATTGCTTACATTTTAATGTTGATGATGCTGAAGGAATCCCCAGTGTTTTTGTTGAAGATTGATAAAGAAAAGGTAAAGTATCCTTATTTTACTTTACGTAGTTGTATGTATATATCATCTGTCTCGGACTGCCTCGGTGGTGTAGTGGCTAGCATGTACGGCTGCACGCCCGGAGGTCCTGGATTCGAGTCCCGGGTCGGGCCAAGTTTAGTTATTAAGTCTTTCTGTATAGTAAGCCGCAGTAATAGCCCGGAATTTGGTGGTGTTTTACCGCCCGTGCCTCGAAGAGCACGTTAAGTCGTCGGTCCTGCGCTGATACTGATAACTCCCACTGATCGTGTCGAGCAGTCATCCCACCGGATAATATCTCCTGCGCAGTTGGCTCGTCTTAATGAGATTGGCCGCCGTGGCCGGAATCGGTCAGAAGAACATCATATCATCTGTTTTGTAATATTGTACAGCCAAAATGGAAACAAAGATGTAACAAAGCCTTTATATACTATATTGTATTTTTATGTATCACATTAGAAGGGGCTAACGATTTAATATTCTCCGTGCTCAAATACCCATGTATCAATTTTAATGGTGACCGGTTGAACTGGTGGCAAGTAACAGCAAAACGAATACCATGAAATTATTATGTACGTCAAAACATTCACATTTATGTGTTAATTTTTCAAAGCTATTAATAAAGAAGTTTTAGAAGTGTGTGGTTTTACGCCAATAAATATTTAGATGTATGTTTATTTATATAGCTTTGAAAGATTTTAAAGATATTTAGATATATGCTGTAGTATTTATATCATTATTAGCAGAACCTGCGGCTTCGCTCGCGATAAAACTACAAAAATATCTCTAAAAAGGTAGATTTCATACAAATTTTTATCCTCTATTTTACCCCATTATAGGATGAATTTCGAAAAATACTAAAACAAGTATTTATTAATTTGTACTGAAGAGTATTAATGCCAAGTTTCAAGTAATTCTGATTTTAAATATTTTTTGGATTGTATTATAACGTGTTTTCCTGTGGAAAAGAGATAATCTCTCGCAGTAAAAAGTAGCCTATTTCACTCTCCCGCCCTCCAACTATCTTCACACAAAAAATCACGGCAACCCGTCACTCTGTTTCGACGTGAAAGAAAGACAAACAAACAAACACACTTTCACATTTATAATATTAGTATGGAGTATGGATTTTACTTCATACTTACTTCAATCACGTGTCAAACCGTCAAAGACCGCATGTAACTTGTCACACAAAAAGTCCATGTCATAATTATTGTCTTTATAACAATACTTGCTTTCCCGTTACATCATATAAGCTAATGAGTTTATTGACAAAAGTTAAAAAAAAACGTTTACTGTTTGTCAGATTCTCTGTAACTTATATATTCATATAATATTTAATTACGATAAAATTTTGGCAATTGTGTAATCCCTGGGGAGTTTTCGGATACAGTACCCTGTACAATCAACCTACAGTAGGTGACGCACGAGTTGTTATGACAACTTGAAATTGAAAAGTATAATTCCTTTATCTAGACGTAACCAGGACGGATCACCAGTTTGTCACATAGATAATAATTTTCAGTTTAGGTTAAGATATTGTATTTGTTCTACATTTTTATTTTTATAACGAACTTTGGGAAATGCTACACTTTACAATAGAAGTTACTTTGTGGCTTGTGACTCGCCGGTACGAAAAACCACTAGGTACTACAATCTCACTCTTTTTTTAACGATAGAAAATGCATTCATGCATAGCACCTGCATACATACATACCGGTGATTATGTGGGACTCACCGGCTAGAAAAGCCAGTACTACCCACTAAAACTTAAAGGAACATCCCCCGTCTTAATGTGGCAGCACAGGATCAATTACACCCTGATGGGTGGCTTGATCGGGCAGATAATAATAACCAGGGGGTTGCTCCCATAGTCCACTATGCTATCAGAGCAGTACCAAGAACAACCTGCATGGTCCATTCATATGGGCCGCCTTAAAGTGGGAGTTATGTTTTGACATCCTAATAGAAATGCATCACGTTTTTTTCTAATAAATATGTACATATATTCTAAAAATAACATTGCCATGGTTTTTATTATCCGATAAAGGATTTTGAGATAAATAGTTAAGAGGACGTTATATCTGATATTTACATAGTGTAGAATTACTTAATAAAATAAGTAGATATGAAATATTTTTCCTTATTGTTTTGTTTTTAATCTAATTTTTTACAATTCAAAACATTTGGCGCGATCATCGTGCTAAGCTTTGGAATGTGACGCGGGCTTGTTTTAAACTACTACAGCAACTATATTTTGAATTAATTATTAAAAATTTAAATTTGCTACGTACTTCGATGAAATTTTGCTTTCTTTCCATATTGTAAAATATTTTATAGTGTAGTGTTTGTCATCAATATAGCTTTTGAAACGTCAAACACCGTGATTTCTCACTTGAACGTGTTTGCTGTAAAGCATTTGAAACCAAAAACCGAAATAAATCTGCAAAAAATTCGATAAGCGGGTTTTATTCAATATTCGTATAAATCTAAGAAAGTACTAAAATCTCCCTTGAGCCTTACATTCATATAGTAATTACTGACTATGTATCTTGGGCTTTAGTATATCAATGAACGATATGTTAAACCTGATTACAGGAAGCCGCTGAGTCGATAGCCTTCTACCAACGGGTAGAAGTTACATCTAAAGAAGTAGAAGTTGAAATCAAGAAACTCAGGCTACAGTTGGATCCTAGAATAGAAAGAATATTACAAGATGGTGGCACTGGTAAGGAAATAGTCTATAATATAGGTACAAGTGTAGTAGAGTTATATATGGGGTCTTTCACTTTTTTTAACCGACTTCCAAAAAGGAGGAGGTTCTCAATTCGTCGGAATCTTTGTTTTTCTGTATGTTCACCGATTATTCAAAGATGCCTGAAACTATTTGGAAATATATTTTTTTTCAAAGGGTATACTTCCCAGGTGGTCCCATATAAATTTTATCGAAATCCGTCGAGCGGTTTTAAAAAAAATCTTCAATAAATATTTTTTTAAATAAATTGTTAATTGTTAAACAAATAGTTGCAAAGGCTCACCCACTAGGACAATTTTATATAAATCACTAACACAAAAAATACCCAAACCAAACTATTTCTAAGCTCTTTAATCAAAATAGGTATCAAAACCATATTGTCATCCAAATAATTTTCATCAATAAGAAACTACTGAATAGAGTAAAACAGAGGTTTATTCATTAAAATATTTTTACTTTCATAAATCGTTTAAATTGTTAAGAAGACCATTCTGTGGAATCTTATAATATATGTACATATATCGAGTATGTGTATACTCAGGTTTATGAAGGACTTTTGGAGCCAAAATCTGGGCTTAATACGCTTATTTCTATTTCTAGTGTTTACTGTGTGTCTATCGCTGTTTTCAAACAATTATTTAAATTTTACAACAAGCAATATATTACACAATTATTACTATTATAAGTATATTGTGATGCAACAGTAAGAATAACAATTTTTTGAGCAAATCTCGAAGGGAATCACGAGCTCTTAGAAAAAAGCTTATACTGCCCTTTTATGAATACTAAATATCGAATAAATTTCCGCGGCCCTGCCCCAAAGAAGTATCGCGTAAGATAAAAATTGCTGTAGTGTAGAGTAATTGTAGGTGGAGCTAATAAAAGCGATAATAACGAAAAGTTAAAAAGTTTTTTTGAAAGCTACCTTACTTATACAAAATCAAATAAAAGGATATATCATTTTTATACGAATATTTATTTGTAGTCAAATCTGTAATATACATCATATTATAATATTGAGTCCAAAATTTTCATCATATTATAATATTGAGTCCAAAATTTTATTTTTCAGATTCAAAAGAATCAGTAGAGCTCTTAGACAAGCCTCAAACTTTTACTGCCAATGCTGACGAAGTGCAGAAGAAGGAGACAGCGTGGCAATTTTTAAGTAAGCGATAACTTTACGTATACTTCACTAGCTTAATTTATTTTCATTATTCATTGTCTCCTAAACTATATAAATAAATGAAATACTGTAAAGTGAAATTTTATCAATAAAAATAATTGTGATGATAATTTATTTTTTGGAATATTAGTGTGTAGTTCAAATAATCAGCTAAACATTAGACAAAAATATTTGTTAAACAAAAGCTTCAACAAATTATATCTGTTAAAATTTGAAAATTAGATGTATGGTATCGCAAACTTTTTTGTAGAATCAAAGGTTTGATTATTTGCTCATACATTGTTTTCATAAAGTTTTCATGTTTTGTAAGATTTTTATTCTAGCTTTAGTTTTTTAGTGACATGTTAATTATCGTAACTAACGTGCTAATCCTTTAAAATGAGTCGGCAACTATACTTTCCGCACGTTTTGACTATTTGTATCTCTTTCTTTGACCCTTTTTCTTCTCTACTTTCTCTTGCTGTCTGAATCTGTACTAATGTTACAAACTTAGGAACTAGAAGCGTAGTTATTGTTTTAGTGTTATGAGAATTCTACTTAAAGAAAATACGCGATCGAAGTTGGCAAAAGCAAATTACTAAAAAATAATATATATTTTATATTGCATTGGCAGGAAGATCAGAATCATCCAAGAGGGCGCTGTTATCAGTCCTCACTGTAATGGCTCTATCAATTTTGATGGGATCCATAGTATTGCAAGTTTACGCTGAACCATTGTTTAAAGAAGCTATTCCTACGATGAACCCTAATACATGTTCGATTTTGCTAGCAGTGACTTATTTGTTAGCGGGTCTAGTGTGTGCTTGTATACTGGATAAGTTTGGGAGAAAAGTGAGTATTGTTATCCTTATCGATATAATAAATAACATCCTCCTGCCCGATTTTGCACAATCTCATTGAAACTAGTCATCTGCGCAATAGATATAGTGCACAAGTATGCACTCAAAAACAAGTGTACGCTTTGTTTAATCCTATACTCCGGTAGGATAACTTTTGACATTCGATACGATGAGTAATCAGGCGCAGTACCGACGGTTTTATATGCTCTCCGAGGCAGGGTTGGAGCACCGCTAACTTCCCAACTCCAGCTGCGACTAAAAGTTTCTTCATAGAAAAACCTAATAACTGTACTTGATCCGAGACTCGAACCCAGGACTTCCGGTCTACAACCATATATTGTAGTCTACAATCTAGATCGTCGAGGCAGTTACTCGCCACATCTATCAACTTCGTCCATTGGTCCACTTGCTTTGAAATGATATGGTCACTAATAGACACACCAACAATTTAAATATAAACATATTTTAATTTCAGTTTCTCATGACAATAACATCGATCGCATCTGGTATTTTCACAATTCTCCTTGGCTCACAACTTCAAGTACATTGGGCGCCGCATTGGTTTACAGCTTTTGTTATTTATGGCTACAGTTTTGTTTACAATTTGGGAGCCGCTGTTGTGCCTTTTGTACTCACTGCTGAAGTATTCTTGCCTGAGGTAAGAGTGCATACATGTGATTTTTAAATGTGTTGCTAAGATAAAGAACTCAATCGAAATAAATTGTGGAAAATGGCAATTTTACCAAATATTAAGTTATATTGATGATGCCAAATAGTCTTTGCCGTGTATTGGCTTACCGTTTCAAATGTGGTGCCACTTCTTTATATAGGCTTATTATGCTGCTGTGATTGCCTTTACTTGTAGCGTTAACGATGTATGTTACGTAATCCACCTCAATTAAATATAATAGTATCTGGGCCAAACAATTCTAACTTTTTGTTTGTTAATCATATTTTTTTATCAAGAATGACTTATAAGTAACTAAATATTCACGCATTTGCCTTTTTTGTTTAGATTTCGACAAAAAATAGTTTTATGATTATCTCTTTTAGGTGTAATTAATTTTACTTTGTTTTCCAGGTAAGGGGTCTTTGCAACAGCTTCTACATGGCTTGTATGTGGGTCATGAATTTTGTGACCCTAATTATTTTCAACCCTTTAGTCGAAGTCTGCGGCTTAGGACCAACCTTTTATATATTTTCTATTGTTTGCTTCTTGGGAGCATTCTATAGTCACTTTTATTTGCCAGAAACGAAAGGTCTACCGGCTGACGCAATACAGCTTCTATTCTTGAAGGAAAGAAAAAATGTGCCAAAAGTATAGATATTAAATATCTGTTAGTTTTAAATAAAACTATCTTTTCGGATTTATTTAGATTTTTGCTCCCGACGTTTTGAATGCTTTGCAGCAATTAAGGTCCCGGGAGAGACCGTGACCATGATTGTTGTGAAGCAATCTGCGAGAAACTAGCAAGTTTTCGAAACACATGTGATATCCGCCAACCCACACTTGGTCAATGTGGTGGACTATGGCCTGATACCCTTCGTATTGAATTGAACGTAATAAAGACGAAATAAATCTCAAGCGCACAATAAAAATATTTATTTGCAATTGTAAAATAACCTTAGACTAGAAACCAATTTAGAATAAAGCCTTAAATAAAGGTAACGATAATACTGTACCTATGACAAGGTCTAGATGTGAGTAACCTTAGCATAATCTTTACATCAATACTGAATAGTAATCTCAGATAGTATACGAATAAATACAAATCATGCGAAGGTATGTGTAATTACCAATAAGAATACCATGTTAGTGATCTTTGTTGCTTAATCCCTGAAACAGGTGTTTTGAAAAGAAAATTAAGATTAATGTTTTTAATAGGCTTAGAAGAAATATTATTTAAAGACACGCAATCATAAAAAGAAATTAAGACACACTGAAATCCGCCATTTTTATGTTTAGTTATCTCTGTAAAGCCTACTAGCGACTCAGCCTCGCTTCGTTCGGGTTCGTCCCTAGGTACGTTTTAACGGTTGGTATGGAATAGACTACATATTATATGATATGAAGCCTATAGCTTTCCTCAATAAACTATCTAATGCCAATAGATTTTTTTAAATCGAATTAGTTGTTCCTGAGATTAGCACGTTCAAACAAACAAACAAAAAAAACTAATAAACAAACAAATTCCGCCTCTTTATAATATTAGTATAGATAAAAATAAAATTCTTATATATACGTAATCATGTTCACATTTTTTAAACGGTTTTACTTAGCTTGCCCTGTTTGTTTAGGTCAATTTTAGTAACTGAAATTGTACCCCTTTTCTGTTAACAGATTGATCTAATATTTGGTAGTTAGTTCTGATGACAATAGAATTGAATATATATAGTATCATTCAATTTATAGTAAATCCAAGATGGCCGCCGCCGTATACTGGGGGATTACATATTTTTTTCCCACCATCTCAATATGGTTATCAAATGAAATGGCTTTATAAGTAGAACATAGTGCATGGCGGATCATAGAGTTTAGATAGTTTATAATAAAAATAACTAAAAACTTAAAAACAAAATAGATAAAATATATTTTTAAGTAAAACGGTTTTATTGAAAAGAAAGACAATGATGATTGAAAAGAAAAAATAATTAGGTAGTGCCTAGGTACCAGTCATCAAAACTCTCCTCATAAATCTAGGCCCTATAGCATTGATCAGACTGAAAAATAAAATCGTGAGGTCGTAGTGTAATCTGAGTAGATTAACACCCAAAAATGATTAAAAATCTTTTTTTTATTTTTAATGTCTCTCTTCTTTGTTACATCTATTTTGAATCTCTGTCAAATAGTTATATATAGAAATGGCTATCAAACAAGTTCTTTTGTCTATACAAATAATAAAATTGTAACTAAGTCGAATTATTATCGATACAGAGTCCGAATCTATAGTTTTTAGAATTTTTGTCTGTCTGTCTGTCTATCTGTCTGTCTGTTACCGCATCACGAGAAAACCACTGGACAGATTTTGATGAAATTTGGTATGATGATAGCTGGTTATCCGGGTCAACATAAAGGATACTTTTTAACGCGGGAAAATATCTCAGTTCTGAGAAAAAATACAAAAACTGCAATGTAAGAGTATACAAATGTGTAAAGCCTAAGACTTTGGTATTTGGTCATCTGAACGCGGGTGGAGCCGCGGGCAATGCTAGTACAAAATAAAATAGTATACGTCATAAATTGTTGCTACAACCTAAAAGGAACTGACACTGTGATACCTAGAATTTATTTAAATTATGAAAAAACACGTCAAACAACGTAAATAGCAACTAGTTCTATTTACTATTTACTAAGCTTTAAACGAAACTTCCCAAATTATTTCACTATTAACACAAATTATACAATAGATACATAAAATATGTGTAATTTTAAAGTGAAGATAATCTATACATATAATAAAATTGTAACTAATAATCTGTACATTAAATATTTTTTGACAAATCTTATTGAAACAAACATTATAATCGATACAGAGGCCGAATCTATTGTTTTTAGACTTTTTGTCTGTCTGTCTGTCTGTTTGTCTGTTACCGCATCACAGAAAAACCACTCACTGGAGGGATTTTGATGAAATTTGGTATGGTGATAGCTGGTTATGCGGATTAACATATAGGATACTTTTTACCGCGGGAAAGTATCTCATTTCTGATAAAAAATACAAAAACTGCATTGTAAGAGTATACTAATATGTAAAACCTAATAATTTGGTTTTTGATCATCTCAACGTGGGTGGAGCCGCGGGCAATGCTAGTGATATTATAAGTCTACTGTATTCTCATTCACATGACTGATATCGTTATCATTGATTTATGCTGTGTATTTCTTTATTTATTATGTACATTGAGTTTATGTTTGAAGATACTCTTAATCTAAATATAATAAAACTGACATGCGGTAAAATATTTACATCGATTTTTTCTACAAGGTCTTCTATAATTAAAAAATATATATTTGTCAATAGAACATAGAGACAGGTTATCTATGGCCCCTCGGGTAGTAACCCAGATGCACAACTGCCAAAACTCACGATTTTGGTCTTTTGGGAAACTACCATAAACAATTCTGCGAAGAAGAACAAGTTAGAAGATTCAAAAATATACATACGTATGTCAATGAGACACATTTTCGCAACCTATTAATAGACAATTAATAATTTAAATATTGATAAGAGAGATTAATTTTACATGGGCGTTGTCTTCATTGCTATTTGTTTGATTTATATTGCGTCATTAAATTACTTTCAATAGTACTTTATTGAACGACTAGCATTGCCCGCGGCTTCGCCCGCGTTCAGATAACCAAAAACCAAATAAAATAGCGCTATTGTTACTTTTTTTTCGAGATAAGCTATTTTTAATAGTTTTTTCCTTATTTAGTAAGTTACCTTGCTAATATATACATATATATATATATATATATATATATATATATATATATATATATATATATATATAGTATTATCGTGGTTTAGTAACCGGTTTTTATATTTTTTCTCAGAAATGAGATATTTTCCCGCGGTAAAAAGTATCCTATATGTCTACCTGGATAACCAGCTATGACTATACCAAGTTTTATTAAAATCCCTTCAATAGTTTTTCTGTGATGCGGTAACAGACAGACAGACAGACAAAAATTCTAAAAACTATAGATTCGGCTTCTGTATCACTAATAATGTCTATTTCAATTAGATTTTCCAAAAAATATTTGATGTACAGATTCGACTTGGTTACCATTTTTATTATACGTATAGATTTTTAATTTAAGGCAACTTTTACACAGAATTTTAAATACAGGAGCATAAAGTAAGAGTGTGGAATTTCTTAGATTTTTGATATTTAATTTTTCTTTACGATTTTTCTTTACAAGATGTAAAGTTGACTTGTATTTGCGTGAGTGCTTGCTTGTGTGTCTGCTTGTGTGTGCGTGTTTGTGTATAGAAAAATTTAGATGCACAGAAATTTATTGTAAAATTTATCTATACTCACCGACAGATAAATAAAATTGAAGTGTCTGTTTGTATTATCAAAATAACAGCCTTTTACTAAATACATATGAAAATATACGGCACTAATAAGAAAAACACAATTAAAAAAAAATACTGTTCGTCCGTCCACCCATCTGTCTATCTGTCTACCTGTGTCGTTGTTCCGGCTAATCTCCGAAACAGCTAGACTGATTTTGATGGGACTTTCACTGGCAGATAAATGATGTTATAAGAAGTAACTTAGTTTTCTTTTATTTTAGAAAAAGAATTAGGGTTCCGCTCAAAAAAATTAAAACGTATCTAGCACGCACCCGAACGAAGCGAGGTTAAGTCGCTAGTGTACCATAAATCACAGAATTTTCTAAAATTGGAATAATTTTACTGATGTTCTCCTGACCGATTCCGGCCACGGCGGCCAATCTCATTGAGACGAGCCAACTGCGCAGGAGATATTATGGTGCACAAGTGTACGCTCAGACACAAGTGCACTCTGTATTCCTGTCACTCATACTCTGACGGGGTGGTGGGACGACCATTCGACACGACCAGTGAGAGTTAAAGCGCAGAGCCGACGGCTTTACGTGCTCTCCGAGGCACGGGGGTGAAACACCGCCAATTTCTCAACTCCGGGCTGTTACTGAGGATTACTATACAGAAAGACTCAATAACTAAACTTGGCCCGACCCGGGACTCGAACCCAGGACCTCGGAGTGTGCAGACGTACATGCTAGCCACTACACCACCAACTCAGTTTAATTTTACTAAGCTATGACTGATCGGATGCTAAACGTTACTTTAAAATAAAACGCTTATCAATCGGAAATTTCTAAAAAAAACACTCCCCTCTATTCGTAATGCTATCTAAGCCTAAATAAATACAGTATTAAAGAAATCTTATCAGAAATATAAAACGCGCAAATATATTTTATCAGATTTTTCATGAAAATTTCCCAAGTCTAAAAAGGATTGAACAGATTTTTACTGAAAAATACCGGTTATGCGATACTGAAAAATGCGGTTTAAAACGTAAAAGGATACAAGTCAGCATCACCTTACGAATGATAAGATGCTTGAAGTTTGCTAAAGTTACGATTTTTGGCTAAGGCAACTAATCTCGCAGAGAAATTTCATCTACGTATATAGGAGATATATGTATATATTGCATACAACACAGTATGCGCTCAGACCATAAGTGAAAATTTACCGAAATTTTAGCAAAAACTAAGCGTAAAATTCAAGGTTTAAGGATTTTGACATTGTAACCTCATAACCTGCC